GTTGTTCGAGGAAGACAATGACTCGCCCGGTCCTTCTGGCCGCAATGGAGAGCTTGGTATTGGCTCGCCCTTCCGTGAAGCCAAAGCACGCACAATCAATGCGCAGTTCGAAGCATCGGCTTACTCGCTCGATCGCTTGTTCACAGAGAAGGAGCTCAATATGGCCGTGAACCAAGCCACCACCGCGGCGTCCCACTTTTTCGCGAAAATGAAGAGTTCCGACGCACACAACGGGGAATCCACTGCCAACGGCACGAACGGCACGAACGGCGACCATGCTTCCGAAGCTGGCGAACATGGTGACCCGGATCAAGACTCCGATGATATTCCTGGAGCCGTGGAAATGACGCGCCAGGTTTCCTCGAATCCCCACGCAACACGTGGTGCGACGCGTTCAGCACTGAACATCGCATCTGGTCAAATACCCTTCATCTACAACCCGCCGTTTGTTCTAGACGCCAAGATCTTCCAAAAGACCAACGCCTCCGCCCCGGCACCGCCCCCGCTCACAGCGTCAGATATTGAACAGGACCTCAAACTCATGCTTAGGGATGCACGACCCGACGACGAGCTCAATGAGAAACTTTTGCAGGCGGCAGTAACTCCTGTACGCGCACGGGAATATCAAGTTCAACCTCCCGATTACCGCGAGCCCGTTAACGAGACGACGAGTTTTGTCCGGAGTGTAGTGCCACACCTCGATGTCGGAGGAGGAGCGCTAGTTGGAGCTGGAGCCATGGGCGGCGTTCCCATGAGCGCCCAGAGCTCCATGGGTGGATACAGTGATGCTGGCACACCCCTCGGACGCGCTGGAGATAACAACCTCGCTGTGGGCGGTGTGGGCATGTCAAGAACGGCGAGCGGGAGCGGAAGGAGGGGCGGCCGACGAGGCGGATAAGCCTGCTCCGTCCATGCTTTACTGTTCGATTCTTTTCTGGTCTCTGCGCATCCGTGGCGGCATTTTATTTTGCGGTATACCCATTTTCTGGCGTTCTTTCGAATCCTGAATGTCTAGTTGTCTGTTTGCATATTTTGCGGGGTTTTTTGTGCATAGGAAAGGGAAATGGATTTGGGTTCACGAGGTACATATCGATGGGCGTATTGCTGCGAAACACTTGATGTTTCTAGTGTTCATCTACCTACTAATTGGTGATTGGTCGTGCTGGACGTTAGATTAATCAATGTGTTCTAACAAGTTCTTTGTCTCAATACACAACGTGCTCGTCCTGTAAATGTTTAGGGCAATGGCGATGGAGAATTTCTTTAGTTTAATCAATCAAAACTTGATCAATTAATCAATTTAACAAACTCGCGAAGTTTCCGTTATCAACTTGTAGATTTCATCTACTCAACTTGGTCACTCCATCAAATCCAGCCTCCTCCCATACCATTCGTACATACGATTCGACCTACATATGTACCAAAACAATCTTTCCCCTTCCATCTCCACCCCAAACTCTCCCATGTGCTCAGCACCTACAAAGTACGCATCGCACAAACATCCAGCACCAAATCGGTCTCACCTCCCAAGAAAGCCCTCGTACTAGTCGACCTCTCCTTTCCCGGCTCCCAAAGAATAACCCCCTTAGTATCCCTATCCGCATAAAACAGGACCAACTGCCCCTCAAAAGCATACCCCCTCCCATCCACCGTACTCAGACTATAATACGTGCTGTTCGCGGGTTTGTTGAAGGTGTACGCGGCGTTGAGGATGGGGCCGCCGTGGTCGAGTCCCGAGGGCGTGGTGGTGATTTGCAGCGAAGTTCCAGTGATGCCGTCGTAGTAGAGGGCCTCGGAGTAGGAGGATGAGGCGGGGATGGTGGCGTTGTTGTGGCGCTCCCGTGCGATGGAAGTTAGGTAGATGGTGGTTTGGCAGTGGTTTTTGATGGTTACTTTTGGGACATCGCGTGGGGTTAGGGGGATGCCGAGGGTGGTGCTGAGGAGGGTGAGGAGGGTCAAAGTTGTTAGGACCGAGGTGAGTTGCATTTTTGGCGAGGTTTTTCTCTCTCTTCGGTGTGGTGGAAATGTGGTGGTTGGAGGGTTGATTGATGTTTGTGAGTCGAGAAGCGTGTTTTTGTATTCTAAGGAATGAGTCTTGGTTGAGAAAGAACGTTGATGAAGTGGTTGAGTCGAAGGTTCGTTTGTTGGCCATGAGTTGTGCTTTTATATCTTATAAGATCAGGTTCATTGTTCATACTCACATCTCTTTCTAGTATACTGCCCGATACTACCAATGCTCTAATCAACTGCTCCAAGTGATACCGCACGCCCATACCTACCCTAAGAAATGAGGCGGCATAAGTCGTCGTCAGTGGCTAATCCACTGGAGCATGGCATGTCGTGGCGAGTTGTGGCATGATGTTCTTGCTCGGGTAGGGTTTGTAGAAGGGCACAAATACTATTCCCCTGGTGTGATACATGCCATGTGGTAACACTGAACGCCGTCATAGGCATAATTGAGTTATACCCGCGGTTTAGCTGTGTCTAGGCCCTGAAGTGGTCTGACAAACATCAACAAAGCATCAGACTATCGCAGAAGTAACATTTGGTCGGTGTGGCAGAGTATTTGACAAAGGTAGAACGATTCGTGAGCGGTGTGCCTGGCTGAGCTGTTGGTGTATTGTGAGAGTCAGGTGCCTGGTATGTGTTTTGGTATAAGGTCATTCGCAGATTGAGATTTTTGACGGGTGTCGCGTAGCATCATGTCAACGGACGGGTAAATTCATGGTGTGAAACGGCCTACGAGCTGTTCCTCATTGCTGTTGTAACGGACGGATAGAATCAGACCGGTTTTCTGTTATGAAGTCTCTAAAAGATCAGCTTTGAATTAATTCCGGTGAGCTGATCATATGACGCTTCCAACAGTATTGGACATCAATACTCAGGAAAATCAACAACTTGCGTATCGTTACGCGTCGTGGAACACTGCAGAAAATGTGAAAGTGAGGAGCGAAATTCGGCCATTCACGGTATCATACATATCTGATATCATGGGGCCGGGAGAGTTTGAGTTGAATCGTAACGACAATCATTTCGTAAAAAGGCTATTGCGTACGAACGCTACATGCATTGGTAGGCACATGTAGATGGTAAAGTGGTGATGTACGATCAATGGATGTTGGTAGAGGTGATTACATCAGCATTCACATGATGCGATCGATCCTCCACTCCGCGCATGGCCGGTTTGAGCCGTAGCGGGCCGACGCGGCGAATGCCTCGGTCCATGGACTCGACGTTTACTGCGAACGACAAGTTTGCCTCCACTACTACCAACAAGCCCGTACGCAAAAGCGTTCTATTTTCACGGTATTCTTCGTAGTGTGTTCTCTTCTCGTGATCTCTCTTCAAAATTGTGATATTCGCCCAAAACATGTCAGCATCCGCTTTGCGTGCATCCTCCAGGATGGCATCCCGCTCACAGCAACGCCTGGCCAGCATACAAAGGCATTTTAGCACGTCCAATGCGCAAAGGAGAGAAGTCAGAGATGCATACATTCTGTCCGCAAGTCGGACGCCCACTGGAGCTGTGAGTTTCACACTGCGGTCCTTTGGAAGCATATTAACATCTCGTAGTTCAATGGCAACTTTACGAATGTCTCCGCAACCCAGCTCGGTGCCACCGCAATCAAGTCCGCCCTTGAAAAGTCAAAAGTTCCCATATCGTCGATAGATTCCGTGTACATGGGCAATGTGCTCAGCGCAGGCGTCGGGCAGGCCCCCGCTCGACAAGCAGCCATCTTCGCCGGCCTGCCTACCAACATCGAAGCAACAACTGTCAACAAAGTATGTGCGTCGGGTCTCAAGGCTGTCAGTCTTGCTGCACAGTCGATCGAGCTGGGACAAGCAGAGGCACAGGTCGCCGGAGGTTTCGAAAATATGACCAGGGTGCCTTATTATCTCAACCGCGCAAGCCAGCAGCCGCCCTTTGGGCATCAGCAATTGCAAGATGGATTGATTGGCGATGGTCTGTGGGACGTGTACAACCAGATTCACATGGGCAATTGCGCCGAAAACACCGCTAAGAAGTATGAGGTGACGCGAGAAGAGCAAGACGAGTTTGCTATCCTCACATATAAGCGTGCACAAGAAGCATGGAAGGCCGGTTTCTTCAAGGATGAAATTGCGCCGGTGACTGTCAAGTCAAAGAAGGGTGAAACGGTCGTGGCCGAAGATGAAGCGTACAACAAGCTCAAGTTGGAGAAGGTTCCCACGCTAAAGCCGGCATTCGTGAGGGATGGAACTGGAACCGTCACGGCGGCGAACAGCTCATCGTTCAGTGATGGCGGGTCTGCCCTTGTTCTGGGTAGCAAGGAGATCGCACAACAGTACGGCAAGGACAGCAGGGTACTAGCAAAGATCATCACATATGCTGATGCTGCTATGGGTGAGTCCGCTCTGAATTTCGTGAACTGATACCAATTGACACTTGTTAGACCCGATCGACTTTCCCGTCGCACCCGCTGCCGTTGTTAAGAAGCTCCTGGAACAGTCCGGCCTTTCCAAGTCCGACATTTCAGTGTGGGAGTTTAATGAAGCCTTCGCCGCCGTCATTAAAGCGAACGCAAAGATTCTCGGTCTGGGCGTTGACAACGTGAACCCCAAGGGCGGTGCAATTGCCCTCGGTCATGCGTTAGGAAGCTCGGGAAGCCGCATTTTGGTTACATTGCTCCATCAGCTCGAAGTGGGACAATACGGAGCGGCCGCCATCTGCAATGGAGGTGGAGCGGCTACTGGTATGATTGTGCAAAGAGTGTCACCAAGTGAGCTATGATTTATGAAGAAAAAGTTTATGCGATAGTTATGGGCCGGATCATTTGACCAAGACTGTACACCAGACTTGATTGACATATTGGCAGGTATTCAAAAATGTAATATAACATTCAAATTCGTCGATGTTTTTCCCATCCAAATACAAGCTCTGTTCGTTTGGTCCCATTCTTTCCCCAAAATTCAACGGATCCGGCGGCAATTCAAAAAAAAAACTACAACATTATATATAGCGACGTGTGCCTGATTCGAACAGACGCTCCCGAAGGAACTAGATATCTCACCACTGCGAAGTTAATAACAAACTTAACAGATGGTTCAAGTCTAGCGCGTTAGACCACTCCGCCAACACGCCTGAATATGAATTTGCAATGCAACGATTGTTTGCTGTTTACACGGAATCTATACGCACTAAAAGTGAAGCCGAATAGAAGTGGATACCCGCCGCAAGTGCATGTGGGACGAGCAGGGGTTCTATTTGTTGGACGGCTGCATGCAGTAAATGTACATATCTAAACCTGCTGGGGCTGCTCATATGTGGGTTGCCGAAATCTGTGTTCATATTGATAGATGTCTAATCCACAGAGTGAAGTTTGGTGAGCCAACATTTCTTTACCTTATATGAGGAGTACATCCATCTGGCCACACCACGCAAACTCCTTGCTAACAGTAAGATGAATCTTGATTTTACATAGTCAAACTAGCTCTGCCTGCCTTAGCGAATTTAGACGTACTATACCGGTGTAAATCTCAATTAGCGGATTTGAAATCCTTGACATTACCTAAAACTCCTACTACTACCAACAACGTAAAGGTTTTTGCCCTCCATTTTATTAAGCTGATCGCGCTTTGAATTGTTCGAGGATGTTCCATATTACCACAAGATGAAATGAAAAAGACATCTCAACGAGCACACTTAGCCTGCGCAAGCATCAAAAGTCGCATACATCCCCTGTACACCCTTACCGCCCTCCTGCTGCTCTTTCGTTGCCTTTCCATTCAACCACATCCGATGATAATCAAGACCTGCAGACTCCCACCCTAGTTCTTTGAACAGCCCCCTTGCCTGTGTGTTGCTACCGAAGATCTCTGCAATCATGCTGCCCTCCGAGTCTTGGTAGTGAATCATAGCTGTGTAAAGCAGTGCCTTTGCGTCAGCATATGTTTCCGCATAAAGCGGCCCAAATCGTTGTCCCTCTTCGCAATCACGAACAAAGATCAGTCCGCGAAGTTGGTCTGGCGATGAGCCTGCGAGAGCAAGGCCAAAAGTGTCTTTTCGGTGCTGGATGCCATCGTCTACCCAATATCCAGGACGATCCAGCCCGGTATACTCCAAGTCCAGTTTTGTAAGCACACTCCCATCGACCGTCTTGATATCCATAAGTCGACTTTTAACATCGGAATCCAAATCAATCGCTTCAAGGGGTTTGATCTTCAGCGAAGATCGCGACATAAGAGGGATTAGGGCGGTGGCTATAAAGCCCCGCCTCTGATATGTCTTGACTTGCTCCTCCACACCATCCAGCCCGATAATTTCCGTCTTACTCTCACGAAACGACTCCTCCATTACCTTCCAGACCTCCCGCCCAAGGCCCTTTCCCCGGTACGCGTCATTCACGATGAAGAAGCCCACCCATCCGGTCTTGTTGGGGTAGGTGAAGCCGCAGACACATCCCTCAGGCTTTCCACTTGATTTGGGGATGATCAAGTGCCAATCTTTGCCGTTCCGGAGAGCTTTGAAATGGCTGGGTCCGTCTTTGGGGCTTCGGTTCTGGGGAAGTAAGCACGTGAATCCCAATGAGAGCAGAGAAAGTGTACCCAGCCTAAATCTCTAATCAATGGCCACCATAGATCGGATGCTTCTTGAAGATTGTTCGCAGGGCGAACAATGAGCTCCTCGGGCTTTGAATTCATGTTGACGGATGGGGTAGAGTGCCACAATGTAAAAGAAAGAAGCGCGGAATGAAGCGGGATATACCCTGAACTATCGGTCAAAGATCTCTGTCAAGGTGACTTGAAGTCTATCCCGCTGAGGCTTTATTAGTTTTTCAACAAGATATTTCGGTATTTTTCTATTCTGCTAGGGATTGAATGATCAATATTCGAAGCATTGTGCCGCAATATCCTTACAGTGACTCCGCTACGAAGATGCACTCAATGTTGAGGACGGAGGCGTAGCGGGGTAAAATACGCAAGCATCAATCGGGTGTTACATCCTGCTGTATGCCTAACCTCATATGACAGCAGAAAGAGACTAATTTTGCACCTTCATACGCCTCTCGTACGTAGGAATTAACCGGGGAATAATATTTAAAGGTGCTATAAGGTACTTTTTGGATGCTATTAAGGTGTTGATGCGGGACGAAGTGAACTGAAGAGTACGCCTCATATGACTCGCGAGCACCGCCACACCTAGCTTCCCTGACTCATACAGATCTCGAAAAAAGTCCCCAACATCCCACCCCTCCATTATCGACATCTCCGCTATCAGCACGAACGAAAAATGGCGCCCAAGCCCTGCGCCCTCTGTACCACCAATCCTGCGGCCATCGTGCGACCCAAGGATCGATCCGCCCTCTGCAAACCCTGCTTCTTTAACGTTTTCGAAACCGAAATCCACCATACCATCACTAGCACAAACCTCTTCACGCGGGGAGAACGCATTGCTATCGGCGCATCGGGTGGAAAAGACAGCACTGTCCTCGCCTCTGTTCTCAAAACGCTGAATGAGCGCTACGATTATGGAGTCGAGCTCATATTGTTGAGTATAGACGAAGGGATCAAGGGGTACCGAGATGACAGTTTGGAGACAGTGAAGAGGAATGCGAAGGAGTATGGGATGGAATTGACGATTTTGGGATATAAAGAGTTGTATGGTTGGACTATGGATCAGGTGGTGGAGCAGGTAGGGAAAAAGGGAAACTGCACGTATTGCGGGGTGTTCAGACGACAAGCGCTGGATAGAGGAGCAGCGAAATTGGGCGTGAAGCATGTTGTTACGGGGCATAATGCTGATGATGTTGCTGAGACGGTGCTCATGAACTGTAAGAGGTCCTTGAAATTTTCTAGCTTCATAGCTTTGGAAAAGCAGAGCAGAGAGAAGGCCGAAAACACGATCACTGACTCATTATGAACCAGTACTCCGCGGTGACCTCCCTCGACTGTCACGAACAACCTCCATCGTCACCTCCACACCCTCATCAGTAGCATCTTCTACAGACCCAGCCTCCCACACCAACATCAAACGCAGCAAACCCCTCAAATACGCCTACGAAAAAGAAATCGTCCTCTACGCCCTCCACAAAAACCTCACTTACTTCAGCACAGAGTGCATCTACTCTCCCGAAGCCTTCCGCGGCAGCGCGCGCGCCTTGATCAAGAACCTCGAGCGCGTCCGACCCAGCGCCATCCTTGATGTAGTGCGCAGTGGCGAAGACATGGCGAAACTGTGCCCCGGAAGCGATGAAGGCTGCGGAGGCGCATGCGGCAGCAACAACACAAGCGCGATACCGCTAGCAGAAGAGGAAGAAGGCGGATGCGGGAGTTCCAACGGCCGAAGCGCAGGCAGCGAAATGGCCAACATGGACCGGCAACTTGCGGACAACGAAGCCGCCGCCGAAAACGATCTTGAAGTCGAAATCACGTACCACGGCCGCGACGGCACGCAGCAGAAAGTCAAGAAAACCCCTAAGAAAATCAAAGGCCAAGCAGCGGGTGTTGTTCCGCGCAAGACGGTAGCCAAGCAGGTCATGGGCAAGTGCAGCAAATGTGGATACCTCTCCAGCCAAGACGTGTGCAAAGCGTGTACACTCCTCGAAGGCCTGAACAAGAACAGACCTAAGAATCACATTGAAGTTGGGTACGAAGAAGTCGAGCCTATAGACGGAAAAAAGGAATCGCTGGATCTCAACGGCGTAACCGAACAAACCCAAACCCTCGAAATCGCCGGGTCCGGATGAAATCGAACATCACAGTCGTTGTGGTAGCGTAGTGCCTTCACCTTTTCTCCATGTTCCAAGTGAACACAGAGCAAGTGAGTAGCACTCGAGGATATAACCGCGATCGCATCACATGTGCACACACACGCACACACATAAAAAGAAACGGCACATGACCTCATTCGCCCGCGCACCGTTCGAGACATACATGTGTGATCAGCACACGCGCATATGCCACGATCGACAACAACAGTGCATTCACCCACAGGCATCCCATATGTGGGTAACAAGATCCGATGATGCGTGGGGCAGTAAACCAGGTCGAATCGCTGTCTCGATCGAAGTTTTACCAGGGTAATGGATGATCGTCGGGGGGTGATCAGCGGTGTTGTTTGGGAAGCGAGGGCACGTCACGCGTGAGTACGGGTGGAGACTACAGGTTAGAATTTTGAATTTTTTTTGGCCGCTGATGTGAAGGAAAGAAGAAAGTGATTAAGAAATAGAGAGGCCGAGAAAGATCATGTGTATGTATATGTGTGATTGAATTGTGGGGATAGTGCATGAGTCCTTGCATAGGCGCAGGCGAAGTACTGTGCCCAGGTACATGTGCATAGAGAGAGGTACCTTGCTATGTACATAAAGTACATACTCCAATGTACTGTACAGGACATGGTACATCTACCACCACGGTACAAGTAACCACACCTCACATTTTTAGTCTTTCTCAGTGGCAGTGGCAGTAGTAAAAATTACATTATCTACCTCGAACCTTTGCCCTCCAATTTCTTGTCTCTCTTTCTATTCGAGGAAAAATGAAGTATTCCTCTCAACAACCGCATTCCAACACTCCCCTCTAAATCTCCACTGCCCAAGCCCCCACCAACTTCCACGGGCCCTCAACAGTGACCGACTTCGCGCTCGAATCCCACGTGCCCACCTTCCCAGCCTGCTGCTGTCCCAAAATCCTAATATTCTTAACCGTAACGCTCTCCCCGCTCTCGCCAGTATACCCAAACGAGCCCGTAGAGCTCAACTTCCCGCCCTCGAACGAGAACGAGATCTCGCTGGTGTTGGGTTGGTCGAGTTTCTCGCCTTCGTCGAGGTACAAACGACCCGTGGCTTTGCCCTCGGCATCGGGGGCGACGAGGATGGTGAAGTCTTCCTTACGGAGCTGCTTCGTGGTGTTTGCGGAGTTGACGCGTTGAGGGATAATGGTGCCGCCGCGGATGTGGACGGGGATTTCGGTTTCAGAGACATCCGTCAAGGTCACATTTGTGCCTTCACCTTGGACAACAGCGCCCGTCCAGTAGTCGTAGAAGGTATCCTTGGGAAGGTAGAAAGTCACTTGGGTGGAGCCTTCGGCTGTGACAGGAGAGATGAGCAGTGCGTCGCCGTAAAACCATTGCTCTTGGATGGC